GGGCTGTATGGACAGCGCATGCTAGTGTGAATAATAAAGAAGTTTGACGAGAAGGAGTGAAAGCATTCATGTCGATTTTTAGCCAAAAGGAAACCTTAATAATGCAATTCTCAATTTGAAGCTTAAAAATATCAGTCTAAGGAGAGTCTCGAAGAAAGCCATGGAATGAGTTCCAGACAGCATGCTGCTAACAGAAAGAGATCATGAATAGGAGGTTATTGTTTAATAGATGACTAGAATGAAATATCAATAGATTGATCCGTGTTGCGAAGCCCGCTCGGCAAAAACTAGGAAAGGAAATAAGAAATAAAGCAAGCAAGTCGCTCGAATTTGCTTGGGAAATGAGTAGGGAAATCCACGATTTGAGTATGAGATTGAGGAATGGTAAAATTGAAAGTCTTAATACGTTCAACAAAAGTAACTTTAAAATGTTTAAGAATCATGTCGTAGTGTGCATTTAAACCACCGAAGACAAAGATGTTGGCTGATGTGTGAAAAAAGAGTGACAATTTCTATACTGTCAGAGATTATACTTTATATACTGCAGTCCTCGAAAGGGATTGAACGATACAGGAAAAAAGAATTAATAGTGTAATTATAAAAGTCGAAAGCACATGAAAAAATTACCTTGGGACTCAAATAACAATTCCCTTGCCACTGGAAGATTATCCCTGATGTAAACATCAAGCCCATTCATGCGAATGCTGGAATTTTTTGGCCAAGGATAATTCATTCGTAGCAATGGAATAATTTAATTTTGCTTCGAAAAGTGTTAAGATATTCGGTGATCATTCCAAATGAGAAGATTCTCTACTGCTGAAGTTGGAATGGATACCACGAACATTAGACAAAGAAAGGATGAGGTTTTTCTTTCTTTGTTGTAGTGGAAGAAAGGCTAGCACATTTAAGAGATCTTCCTCTTTTGCATGAGACAAGTAACCAACTGTAATTTCCCCTCTTCAACAAAAAAAAAAACACATTTTCGAAACAATCACATTATTAGCTGGATCAAGCAATAATCATTTTCTAACCACTCCTCCAGATTTTTTTTATATTAAAATTGTAACCTAATCAATATTTCATGACAGGGGAATCTTCTACGTCTCCAGTGACGAGTTCTGAATTCTCTTTTTATGAATTCAGCATTGTTGGTTCAAATCGTAATCAGATCCAAGAGAAATGTTTATATTGTGCCATGAAACGAGAAAGTTTACAACAAAAATTCTATTAAATTACACGTTGCCGGGTTTTATTATGACAGAATGTTCCAAGAACATTTCTGACCACACTCACTCTCTCTCCCATTCCCATTCTCTCTCTCTCTCTATATATATATATATATATATATATATATATATATATATATATATATATATATATATATAATCCTAGTGAGCCAGGAACGACCTACCTTGGTTTACAACAACCGAATATAGTTATTACACACACACACACACATATATATATATATATGACTGGATTGATATGTTAGTTTCTATCTCTGATATTGGGCGCTTTCTAATAAGTACTGCACATATAATATATAATTAATAATAATAATATATTATATATATATATATATATATATATATATATATATATATATATATATATATATATATATACATGCCGAGTATTGTTATTAAAATGTATATATATATATATATATATATATATATATATATATTAATGTCTATAATTTTCTAATTCTGTTCATTATCTTTCTATCTGTCTCTCTCATTCTGATCTTTTCCATCTATCTCCTTCTTATCCTTCTTATCTATCTATTCCATTCTGATCCTATCTATCTATCTATCTATCTATCTATCTATCTATCTATCCTATTCTGATCCTTCATATCTATGTATCTATCTGTCCATAACTGTATGTTCACACCTATATACCTATCTATAAAACTTTCTCTTCCTCATCATAGTTATATTTTGTTCAAATTTACCTAACTGACTCAGTTCAAAGCAATCACTCTCCTTGTAACAGCATCCTGAGCGAATGCATTTAAACGAATGACATCGAAGTGAAAACTGAAGAGACGCCTATACAAGTTGGGAATGAACGCTATAAAAATACAAGAAAGGATCGGTGATTGACATGCGCAAATGAAAAGTGCTTAATAAAAAGCATTCCCAATCAGTCGGTTCTGGCCAACTATTTCTGACTCTAAGATTCCCAGATTAAATTATGAGAGACTCTTCCTTTAATAATGCTTGGCGATGAGAATGAAATTATTTCCGTGGACGTCAAGTTGCATTGAGTAGCGAGGTTTGCTTACACTTTGACAAAAACCTGCTTGTCTTTGAGGGAATGTTAACGGTTTGTAAATTACAGAACTGACAATTTCAGATTGCCGGCTTTTGTCAGTTCTAAGATATGTACAAGTTCACATTATACGAGGTAACATACAGTCTTTGATACTAATGATAAATGAAGAATTCAATATGCACTGGGCATCGATTTATTGGTTTCTTAAATATACAAAAAATGCTGATGAATTCTCAGAATCTCTTAAAAAAGATAAAAGAAAACATAAGCATTTGTAGATATAAAGAGTATGAATATAGAATAAACCAACACTATATGGTGACAGTCAGTTTCAGGCTTCAAAAGATCTTCAGACCATGTATTACAAAGGACACTTAGGATTAAAGGAAGTGGAGGGAAGAAACCGCATTTGGTTATTTATAACGATTATTTACGATATTATTTTATTTATTTTTATTATATATAGTAATTATTTACTTATTTGTTTTGTATATTTACTTTAGGACAAAATTTTTGAATTGAAATAGATTTCATTCCTTTTTTTGTTCTGGCATTTTCCTTTAGCCTTTTTGTCATGGTGTGATTGCAGGTAACAGAGTAGGAATTTGTTTTCGTGTCTTCATTTGTAAATGAACATCTTTTGTTTAACAGTTCATTTTATCAGAAATATTGGTTATGCTATTTTCACCTCTATGCAAGGGTTGGTTATGTAGTTTCTAGGAAAGTTCTGTTATTTCTATATTTTTCTGGGTTTCCTTTTGATCTTACAATAGTGCAGTAGTTACATATATATATATATATATATATATATATATATATATATATATATATATACAAGTGTAGGATTGGTGAATACGGAATAAATTCCAATAACCAAAAATACCTTAAAAGAGTGCTCAATACAGAGTAGAGCAAATATAAATTCTAACGTAATCATGTTATAAAATCACTACAAAAATAGCCATTTTGTTTCAACACTTCTCAACTGATGGTGTTGAATTTAGAATTTCTACATTCAACACTATCACTTGATAAGACACCAGAAGTGTTAAAACAAAATGGCTATTTTTGTAGTGATTTTATAATATGTTTAATATATATATATATATATATATATATATATATATATATATATATATAGAGAGAGAGAGAGAGAGAGAGAGAGACAAACAAGTTATAGTAAGAACTATGGAAAGAAGAAAGCGGTCCACGACATGTGTCGCCCCCAGTGAAATAAATATTGATAGAAATGTGCAAAAGTTACGTGAAAGGAATTGAGACAAACATTAAAGGGTTATAGAAAAATTGAAACGAAGGTACAAAAGAAAAAAAGAAAGAAAGAAAGAAAAAGAAAGTGGAAACATGAAATATAGATAATGAGAGAATAATGTAGCAGAATGATGACAGACAATAAAAAAAGGAAAATAGAAAAGAAAAAGGAAGAAAAAGAAAGAAAGAATGGAAACTATGATTAGAGAAGGGGAAATGAATAAAGAAAAGTCGAAAGAAAGAAAGAAAGAGAAATAATAAAATGTAAATAGGGAGGAAATAATAAATAAGAATGATGAAGATATAAAAAGAAAGAAAGAGAAAATGTGGAATATACATAAAAGAGCGAGAGTGAAAGAAGTGATGACAATATACAATCGAAACGAAAGAAAAGGTAAGGCAAACAGAAAAAAAGAAAAAGAAAAAAAAAAAAACGAATAAAATATATATATATACGTATATATATATATATATATATATATATATATATATATATATATATATATATACGAGAGAGATTGAGCTAAGAGAAAAATGGCGAACACTGAAATATGACAAGAAAGAAAAGGTGGGAGAAAAAGAAACAAACAAATAAAACAAAGATAGCCATTCATATATGCACCTCAGACTAGAAGAATAAAGATAAATGAAGGCAGAAAATATCGAAGAACAACTGAAGAGAGAAAATGATTGAAAGACAGGCCAGAGAAGAAAGAAAGAAAGAAAGAAAGAAAGAAAGAAAGAAAGAAAGAAGCAATAATATATCAAATGGAGAAGATAAAAAAGTAAAAGTATCTAACAGTAAGAGGAAGAAAGAAAAAAAACGAAAACAATATAACGGAAAAGAAAAAAAAAACGAAAAGAAAGATAAAACAGAATGCGAGGGTAATTACAAAAAATCAACAGAATAAGAGAAAGAAAAGGAAAAATAAGACATAGGAAGCTTTTCTTTTTCTTTCATTTGCCTTTTTCACTTTTTCCATTTTCTTTCTTTTTTTTTTTTTTTTTTTGCACAAAGAGTTGAATAAGCATAAAAAGGGGGAAAAGAAATTAAAGCAATAGAAAGAGCAGAAAAATAAGAGCAGAAGTAAAAACAGAACACATCAGAAAGAGGAGTTGCTTAAAAGAAAATAAATAAAACAAAAGCTAAGAGGATAAAAGCAGAAACGGTCTCGAAAGCAGCCAATTTATTGGCAAGAAAATTTTGCAGTTTAAATCAGGAAATTGGCGCGCGCGAGTCGTAATTACAGCCACGGACAAGACATGCTCATCTGAGTTGACAGCAGAAAGGAAAAATAAAGGCTCTTTTCTTCCCTTTTTAAATTAAAGACGTGAGCTAATGACTATTTTTGTCCATATTCTACACATTAAAGAAAGCTCGTTAGTCTTAAGTAATATAGCCACAGATTGTAAAAGAGACAACCATCCGAAATTAAAGCGTTCGCCCCATTATGATGGGCACTTCTTCCTTCTTCTTTAAAAGTCAACTCCTCATCGCTGTCTTATTACTGGTGGTGGTGGTGGTGCTATTATTATTATTATTATTATTCTCTTTTTCTTAGCTTCCTCAATTTGTTTTTTTTTTTCTTACAAAGTTTATTTGTCTTCATCTTCTCGTTGTTATCCTTTTTTCTTTTCTGATTCTTAGCTTTTCGTATTTTTACTTATATTTATCTTTTAAAACATCTTTCTTTCTTCTCTTGCTTCTTCTTAACATTTCATATAGGATCGTTGGCCACTTCTTCTTATGTTTTTCATCTTCATGTTCTTTTTTGCTTCTTTTTCTCCTCCTTAACATTTACTTTTGTTTCTTAAATACTTTTTTTAATTTTTGGTTTCATCTTTTCTTCTTTCTTTCTTTCTTTACTTTTTCTTTCATGTCTTTTTGGTTCCTATTTTTTTCTGTTCAGATTCTTCTTTTTGAATTCTTCCTATTCTTCTTTCGATAATTCATTCTTTTTTTGTGTTCTTAACTTTTTCTTTTATGTCTTTTTAAATTCTTCTTCTTCTTCTTCTTCTTCTTCTTCTTCTTCTTCTTCTTCTTCTTCTTCTTCACCGATCTCTTGTAGATGAATATATATCTAACCTTTATTCATTCACCTTCTCGCACTTTCAGCATTTGTAATGTCCTTTCTTACCCCGACGATGACTTATGTTTCAGTTCAGTTCAGTTCTTTGTTCTCCTGATGTTTTATTTTCTATAGAAAAATTTTCTTCCTTTTTATCCGTCTTCTTTAGGCGTTTTATTTCGAATAGTGCCACCGACTCTTCTCTTTACTTCTGCATATCTCAAATTTTTCTCTCAACCTACTCTTCTTCTCTTCCAATTTCCCATTCTTGTTCTCATTCTCGTGAGACGACGCCATTTTCTTCTTTCGTGTCACTTCTCTCAAGTCACGACTTCATTACATCACCTCTTTAATCCGGACACCCAATTACCTAAAAACAAAATGGCAGAAAATAAAACCCATTCATCGTTTTTTTTTTATTTTTGTTTATTTTCTTTTTTATTTATTGCTTGTTAATTCTTTTGTTTCTGCACAACTTATTTTAGTTTGGGCTTATTTTATTTTTTTTGCCTGCTTTTAAAAGTTTTCGCTATGATTAAAAAAAAAAACTGTTCCTTACTTTGCAGTTCATCTTATTTCCGTTCTGTTCTAACTTTCTAGACTGCTTCATTTTGTGTATTTTCCTTTTACTCGCTATGCATATACAATTTGATCTGTCGACTTATTTTCAGGTATAGGACACAAGATTCCGATTACTTTATATAGAATGCGTAGATTGAAGAAAAAAATCAAAACAAGAACGCTATCACAGTAAGAATTCGCCAATTATCGACAGATAATCAGTCCACACTTAACAAATGGCCGTTTTCCAACCAATACTGAACATTTTTGCTTATTTCTCATGATGCTAATATCTAATTCTGCTTCTAGCACTAGCAATGTAATTCTATTAAATTTTCAAATGTTTTTTTTTAATGAAATAATTTGCATATGTGACCATATTAGCATAAAGCAGTATTTTTTTAAAGTTATTTCACCCCCAAGAAAGGCAATAAAGCCGCAAGGGGTTACTGAATGTTACAGAATATGAGTAAAACTTCTATTATGGAGAGAGCACAGTAAAAGAACAAGAATTAAGAAGACAGAAGATAACGATTAATAATGGATTTAAATTTTTGAAGATCAAGGCTGACTGGGAAGCCAGAAGCCGGGAGAGATTTCCACAGGCGAGAAATGCGATAGAAGAAACTATTAGAATAGAACCTACGGTTGCAGCTAGCAGTCATTTCAACTGATGAAAATGTCCTGCCAATCTAATGCTGCACTTAAATTCATAAAGTTTAGGTGTCAGAGAAGAAAGTTTATTAGAACAATTGCTATAAAAGTATTTATAGAAAAGATAGGTTACGGCTTTGAGAAAGTGACTGAAGCCGAAATGCCAGATAATAATAATAACATTTCAGATTCTTCTTTGGATTGTATCAAGAATGTCTAAATATATGGCAGACCAGATGCGGTAGCAATATTCAAAGGATGAATGGTAGATTTATAAATATGTAAGATAGGTTCTGGCGAGAAGAATTGTCTTGCACGACACAGTGAACCAACTTTCTTAGCTGTGGTCTTAGCAATTGATTCAACATACTATTTCCACTTCATGTCAGCTGAAAACCGAGAAGACACAATAAGTCATACTCTTAAACCGAGAAGACGCAATAAGTCATACTCTTAAACCGAGAAGACGCAATAAGTCATACTCTTAACCCGAGAAGACGCAATAAGTCATACTCCTGGAGGTTAGCATCAGACTTTATAGATTTAAATAATTAACTGGTGAATAGATTCGGACAAAAAGACACTTTTTCACTGGAACCAAAAATTTTAATATTAATATTTCACAATCAGATGAGCAACTCCTTTGATAACATGATACGACGTAATTTTAAAGTAATCCGTCTTTTTTATGCTGTTTTTCTTCAGGACTTGGACGAGCCTAGCTCCCCACAACATTATAGCGCTTAGTAATGTCTTATTTTTTTGATGTCAGATAGGTAACTCGATGTTTGTCTTTGTTAATATGTCCTGAGAATGTGAAAGTTTACAAACCTTCTTTCCTTATTATATGTCCTAGAAATTTCAACTCTTTTATTCTAAGTATAAGTGTAATTTTTGTTCCCATTTTCTTTAGAACTTCCTTGTTGTTTACATGCTCCGTCCATTTTATTCTCAAAACCATTCTGAAGAATCACATTTCTATTAGCTCTTTTTATCTATGAGGAAATTGTTCAGTATTCACTGCCATATTGAAGAAATGTTATTATTACATTGGTGTTCAGTACTCTTTTCTTTGTTTCTAATGAAATCTTCTCCTTTCTTAGTATTTTGTTCAATTATGGAAAATGTCTTGTGTGCTTCCATCACGCCTCTATCACATTTTTCCATCTTTTAACGCACCCCTCGGACATTTAACCTTCCGAATTTTAATTTAAGATTAATTTTATTACGATAAACGCTATATTTAGTGAGCACAGGTAAACTCGAAAAATATAACGTTTAGAGCAGCGTTTCTTAAACTTTTACCCTTGTGGAAACGTTGAAATAAGTTTCCGGGAACCCCTGCATAAAAAAAATTATTATATACCATTATTAATACCTATCTCCATATTTGTATCGTAGTTCACGTGGTAAACATAGTATATGGATACACTACATTCGTCCCGTACTCAAGTGGGTCACCCACTGATACAAGAATCTGCCACGTATAGGTCCTGTCCGTGACGTATAGACATCGCTAAATATATTTTAAATAATATAAGAGCCTGAAGCATTTATTATCATAACCAAAGTCTTTCCAACAATATGCCGCTCGTGTATAGTAAAATTACGAATTAAACAAAAATTGCTCAAAAATGCATAAGCCTATTTATCACGGAGAAACACCTGGCGGCCTCTTGCAGAACTCTAAGTTTCCGGGGAACACCGGTTGAGAAGCATTGCTTTAGATTAATGGGAAATAGTAATATATATTTTTTAAATTGTTTTATTTCTGTTTCGGTTACGAAAATAAAGTTATCTGATATGGATTTTGAAATGCCCCAATGGTGTGTATTCCTTAAAAAGGTTAACTGAACAATGTTTTACTGTGAGGTCTCTGAGCAGTAAAAGTACGTAAATTTTGTTTTCCCCTGAATTAAGGCAACACAGGTTCGATCTTTTAGTAGAATCACATTTACTTTAGTAAGACTTTCGATTGTACAGTCCGGTAGGTACCAAAATGACTGGTTATAAAAAATGAAAATAGAACAGCGATGTCAACTCAAGCACGAAATATAGCATTGATAGTAATAAATAAAAATGTCAGAGTAAAAACAAACCTCTTAGTTGCTTAAAAAATGACATTGTTTAATTTTCAGGTTCTTAAATAACTTTATCAGATATAAGTGCCAATGAAAGATGTGCATTTCTTTAAAAATGTGTGTTTAACCCCTACTTTGTTGTGAAGTCTCCTGTGAATATTTTGATGTTCATCCAATGCAAGGTCCAAGAGCCACTCGAGGTAGAGGGTTACTTAAAGCAGAAAACGGTTGACCTTAGATTTGAAGAGTTTAAGTTTGTAGTGATCGGAGAAGCGTCTTCTCAGAAACCTGTAATCGTTCTTGGGAAGAAGTTGTCCGAATAGAACTTCCTTCTTACGAGTGGAATCCAAAGGAAATGAGAGTGAATTGGTACTGTCTGGACTGTTAAAACTAAATGATGAATCTCATCAGAATATTTCCCATGTAAATAACGATAGAGTAACGAGCAGCTAACAACGTTACTCTCTGTGGGGAAAGGAATTGTAGGGTGGAAAATGATTAATCGTAGGCGCTTTTGAAATCTTTCAAGGCTCGTGTTATGGTCCAGGGTTAGGACCAAGGAAGAACAACACGAACACAAGAGTAGAAATAACGAAGGTATATTACACGGAATAATAATACAAGACGTGGAAGGTGTTAGTATGACTGTCAGTCTGGTTTGGAGTGAACAACTATCGGCACAACTCGATTCGGTATATAGCCACCCCAACACGAGGGTTGCATATGGCACAAGGCCGAGTTTAACGTGGGTTTCCCGAGCCCGTAGGCTCGGCCAAAAAATGCCCGTAAAACCCGTATTAACGGAATCAGGTTGGTCAACCTGCCCGAACGAGACTCTGCCCTTCGACGGAGCCTCGTCCGGGTTCCTCCGTGCTTAGAGGCAGAGAGTTGGACAGTCAAGCCGAGAAGCTCGGCTCGATTCGGTATCTAGCCACCCCCACCCACGAGGGTTACATGTGGCACAAGGCCGAGTTTAATGTGGGTTTCCCGAGCCCGTAGGCTCGGCCAAAAAAATGCCCGTAGAACCCGTATAAACGGGATCGGGTTGGTCAACCTCCCCGAACGAGACTCTGCCCTTCGACGGAGCCACGTCCGGGTTCCTCACTGCTCAGAGGCAGAGAGTTCGACCGTCAAGCCGAGAAGCTCGGCTCGATTCGGTATCTAGCCACCCCCCCACGAGGGTTGCATGTGACACAAGGTCATTTTTATCGTGGGTTTCCTGAGCCCGTAGGCTCAGCCAAAAATATGCCCGTAGAACTCGTAAAAACGAGATCGGGTAGGTCATTCACCCCGAACGAGATTCTGCCCTTCGGCGGAACCTCGTCCAGGTTCCTTTCTGCTCAAAAGCAGAGAGTTCGATCGTCAAGTCGAATAGATCGGCTTGATTCGTCCCTCTGTCATGAGAGGCGTAGTATACATAGTGTTAGGAAGAGTTCATTCTGTAGTTATAGGTAAGGACCCATGACAGCTCGAAAGTGAGAATTGGGCAGGTCTACCTCAGATATGGCAGCAATGCTCCATTTTTGGTCTAGATTGGAATCAGATTGTTTCTGCACCGCTATAGGAAGCGATTACGCTTCCAGCATATTTAATGATAGATCGTATATGTGAGTTTTATAGCGGCGTACGGCTTAGTTGTTAAAATGAACAGTTGATTTACCCCCATTAAGAAGATTAATGAAGGATGATAATGACGAGTAAACACACTGCTAAATTTAAACAAAACAGTATAAGGAATTTATTTACGAATTTACACGCTTGAAGTTGCGTCAGTAGCTCTTCTCAGGGAAAGAAACCGGAAATTTGAAAAGTCTAGTTTTAACAATTTGTTCATTTAACATATTAAATGATTTGTTACAAAATAGTTTTTAAAACAAAGGTATGAGAGTTTGCTACCCAAGAAAGGAATATATGGTTGCATACTTCCAAAAGTAAATGAAGAGTGATAGTTTGAATACTTAGCTTTCTTGGATTGTTGAGAGAAAATTCTTTAATGTGCCACGTGCTTACATAGAAGCTGATAATATA